AAGACTTTCAGTGGGATCCCTCTGCACAGGTAGGCTCTGAGCTATAGCAATGTTATCCAAACAATGTGCCTGAATCCAAAGCCTCTGGAATTACTGGGATCTGGACACAGAGGACCAAGGTGAGAGGCATACTACTTCCAGGGGAAATAGGCTCAACACTTCAGCTTTTGAGGGACCTGAGTCACTAAAACATGCCTCCCCTCTTTGGGTCAGTACTGTGGGGTCATGGCTCAGGAACAAAGAGAGGGCATTTGCCTTTCCCCGCTCTTAATTATTGTGTGGGATACCATTAATGTTCACAGTGTCTGCAATAGGATCTAACCACTTTTTGAAGTAGCTTGCACCCTGTCCCCACCGTTTCAAGCTTTGGGCTGGCTCCCACCCTTGCCACCTCCAGCTTTTTCGATGCTTTCCCCTCACCTCCTGCATTTCTGCCACAAACAGGGCTGTGGAAAGCTGACAGAGCAGTGAGAGGGGGCTGCAGCAGACATCTGGGGCTTCTCAGTAACTCAGAGAAGCCAGGTAAAGTTGAACAAATGGTAAGAATGGATACAGGGTGTGTGTTGTACTGTAAGCATTCTTTGGTAGTGGTGAGCATGTGAAAAACTGTATTAGCTGATAAGGTACTTGAGCTGAAAGTCTTTGTTTACCTCAGTGAAACACTAGGATTTAAATGAGGCAGCACAGACCTTGAAGCTAACTCTGATTCTCCACTCCTGTCTCATGCAGCAAAAGAGAGATATCATACCTCAGACTGGTAAGCAAGGTAAGAAACCATAACTTTATTATAAAACAAAATTAATGATTCCTTTGTGTACACTGTGCCCAAAGCAAAAGAAATCAAAAAAAATGCTTTCCCTTTGTCAGGGACTACAGGTAAGCTTGCTTGGGTGAGGAGAAGTGTTTGGTTTTACTCCAACACTGTAGGCAGTTATTTTCAGAACATGTGACTGACAACCCAAAGAACAAGATTTCTTTATTTTTTATAAACGTGGTCTTGATATTATATAATTCTCCTAGCAATTACATTTTTGAAAGTTAGAGGATACGTCTCAAAACTCTTAAAATCCTGAGCTTAGAGCCTCTGTTATATGAGTTTCTGCTGGTTTTGACCTTCAGGATCTCTTTCTTAATAGGCTTTCCTAGAAAGAAAGCAAACTGGAAGGGATGAAAAATACAAATTTTCTTTGATAGCACTTACTTTTGCTAGTGGGGGTGAAGATGCAGAGCTCCAAAGTAAAAGCAGAGAGGGAAGCAATAGTTTAGGAATGTCTCTTCTCAGCCTCTGCCCAAGATATTTTTGGGTGTTTGGTGAGGACTTTTTTTTTTACTGTTGCTGAGACAATGAGCTGGAAAGTCAGAATATGCAGAAGATGGCTTAAATTTCAGTGAATTCTGGTTTAGGTAGTAGATGCTGGATGTATGCTGTTGAAAGTGTTGTTATAGAAGCAGATAAATAATTTTAATTGTTTTCATTAAAAAATGTTTAAAATCATAAATACTATATGTTGCAAACAAAATGAGACAAAGCAAATAGTACAGTAACAGATACACACCCACATTTATACTGTAAATCAAATATATGTAGTTACAAAGTAGAAATCCATTATTTTTAGGAAAGTTAGTAAGCATTTCCAAAGAGATGTTGCATTGCTGAGGCTATTTAGGCTAATAGGAAAATTATTTTAATTGTTCAGCAATAACATCTTGTGTACTTGTGTCATGACAGCAGATTTCTGAAACGTTACTGAACCAAACTCATTCTTAATTACCGTGATGAGTGACACAGTGAGTGACAGCAAATTATCCCAATTATCCCAAAATGTAGCTGTTTTTTTATTCTCAAACTGATGTATATTTCCACAAAACATTGACTGTCTTCTAAAAAACCAAAGTTCAGTCTTTCGAAACTGCTTGCATGCTACTCCATTCAGCTGTGTGGCTCAGCATTTGTGGTGTGCAAGGAACTGCCTGTGCCTCTTGTTTTTGTTCGCAGATTAAATCTCTGAAGGCTTTGGCAGTCTTTCCTGAAGTCATTGGGCTCTGAAAATGCTCACAATTTCATTATGTTGATGTTAAAAGTGTTGGAATTTTCAAAGGCCTACCAACCAAATATCGCAAATGACAGTAGCTAAACTTTTTCATTTTATACGTTCACTTGTGTGATTTGGAGACCATTCCATCCCCCAAATGTACATCTGTTGGAGCAAAGGGTTACCAGAAACATCTAACAGGGATATCAAGACCATTGCTCAATAACCACAGGCATTATTTTGCAATATTTATTGTGTTCTGCAGGAGTTTTCCTGGGATCAAAACTTGTCTGGTTTTATTAACGGTATTCGCAGTTGTGTCACATGGATTGTTTCATGTTATTAGAGCTGAATGCTGTGAGTTGCTATTTCAGAACTGCAAGTTATAGATTTTGCAGGAGCGCATTTGCATGCTGTAGCCTCCAACTATGTAATTTGAATACCACCTTTATCCAGCATGAGTCCCTCTGGTATGTATCACTATCCAGGAAATGTGTCTGGATACCTTTCCCACTTAACCTGGTTGATTTTACATGACACAACCAGGTGCATTATTTTCAAAATGCATTCTTGATTGTTTAGGGTTAAACCAACCCAAGAGAAGGATACAGGTAGCTGTCACTTAAACCAGTTTTGTAGAAAAGATGTATGGGGATTTTAAGATGACCTTCATGTTCTTTACCAGAACTCAGCCTACACACAGACATAAGTACAATCAGATGTTTTTACTTGCATAGCTAAGATACATGATTGGTTTTTTTCAATTGATTTGCATGTCTTTCTGTAAAGAACTATTCTTCTTAAGCAGCAGGTAAGGAAAAGAATATGGGTAAGATACTTGGGGAGGAATGTGAAAAGAAATTTAATATATTTAATCTTATTATACATTTTTCTACATTAAATTCAACAGGCTGCAAATATATTTGCTACAAAGATTTGTGTAAGAAATATCTCTATAAGAAAATACATCTCATTAAACATTTCCTGTAAATAAATTATCCCAAATAACTGTGTTTTGCAAGAGCAAAATGGTGGGTAGGCCAATAGGAAGAGCTAAAAATGCTGGGACCCCATTTCTGCAACTCCCCTGCTCATTTTCTTTTATGTGTAGTGAGCACTTGAAGCAACGAGAGCGCTTGAGTTCCTCTTCTGAGTATGTGCTGTGTCAGTGTAAATAAAACTTGTAAAATTGGTTCCTGGACTTTCTTAGTATTTTGCAATTTCTGAGCCTTATTCCTGTTTCAGTGACGTTGGAAAATGCTGGAGTAAGAGTTGTTTCCAGTAGGGAAGGAGGTGTGTGAAATACTCTTGTGCTTTAGAGTCTTATGAAAGATAAGGGCAATGAAGCTGAGGTCTATGTCCTAATTAGGAAAGCTGAGTCAAGTAGTGTAGCTAAGCTAAAGCTTTAAGGCATCCCACTGGTGGAAAAATGTATCAGATAATGGTAATGTGGTCTTCAAAGTTAAACTACATACTGGCCTACCCATGTTGTGCAGAACTGAATAAACAGAAAAGTATCTTTTTATCTTTGTATCATAGAACATGAAAATGGGTAATTAAAAATGGGTAATTACAACTTAGCAGTAGGTCAATTATAGAATCAGACTTCTTTAAAGTAATATCAGTCTCTTTACCAAAGTTTATACAAAGTAATATTTGAAAATAAGTAAAATCTTAAAAGTTTGAAAATAAGTAAAATTTTAAAAGTTTGAAAAGACTTGGGAGACAAGTCACAGGAGAGAGGCTGTCCTTTTTTAACCAGTACACAAATAACGTAGGGTTGGCAGCTGTTTCCACAGTCTACATACTTCTGTCATTCCTGGCAGAACACTCCGGAGTGAGAGGACATCAGTTTCAGGCTGAATACATGCTGGAGGCTGGTATGCTGTGACATCACATGATGTTTAACAAGTCATTTGTGGTCATGCCATCTTCTTACATCCTCTTCTGCAGGAGAGGAGATGCTCACAAGATCCACCTCCTTTTTCTCTGCTGTCTCAAGAACAAATCCATTATACTGCTGCAGAGTGCCATAAGCTGTAAAAATCTGAGTTTGTAGCACTGTGCTCGAAACACCTCAACAAACGCTGAGGTGTTGAATATATTATATTATAACAGCAACAGAGAAACAACTTCAAAGCTCTTCATGTTCAGTATTTCAACACTGCTATTTCTTTTGGAATTGTCTATAATGCAAGAATGCTTAGGCAAGGAAAGTATATTTAGGACTAATGAGGAACTGCCTGTATATAATTCTGGATTCAGCATGCACACATATTTGCTTCATCTGTTCAACCCAACGCATATTAGCAGTAAACTGAGAAAAATACAAGTAATTAAGTGCCTTACTATGACATTGAACTACATAAAGCATTTCAATTTACCCATGTATAGGAAGCAAAACCCTGTTTAAATGCCTCCTCTTAGGTAAACTGCTGCTCTCTTGAAATTTTGAGATGGCCAGTTTTCACCTTCTTCATAAGGGCCTGGAAAACATAGCACTCTTGTCCTGCAGGAGTGCTTCCTTGCTGAATGTCAGCCCTGAATAACGAGGGCATGTGGACATTCACAGTAACTTTATTTCCATTCCTCACACCTGCAATGTGGCCAATAATGTGTTGACAGATGAGTCTCCCTGGCATGCACTGCTTCCTATAGGAGTACAATGTATACAATTTCTGTAGAAAATCCTTACCACGCTGTAGACCCACTGTAGCCCTAACACTGAACCCCTGAAACATCGTGGGACAACACAGAGAGGTAAGTGACATTCATTTCCACTCTACTTGTTTGCATGCTAGCATTTCCCACAAACTGGAGAATTATTTACAGGAGAACCGCGCGGTAGGTGAACTCCAGCTACACTTGTGTTTGCCACCAGCTCAAAAAGAAATGCATTTGGTGTGACTTCTACTCATACTCTAACTGTTACTTTAGCCACTCCACTTTCATTTGCAGTCCCCCTTTTCCACCATGCCATAATGCATTAAACACATAAAGCCACAGTCACTCAATACTATCTTCCCAATCCTCATTCAGATCTTCTGGCACACATGAAGTCTTGATTTAGAAGAGGAGGTCGCATCTTTCCATACTTTACAAGACAAACCCTTGGCACAGTCACATCGTTGGAAAATCTCCAGTCCATGGGAGCCTTTCTTGCGCTGTTTGGTGCACACCTCCCCCTGATGCAACACAGGCTTGCAAATTTTGGTCCAGAAGTGGCGAGCACAGCAGTGTCCCTCAATGCAGTCTGATGACCGTAGGCAGGGATCGCCTTCATGTCCTAAAAAGAGCAACCAAATTACTTTATCTCATGGAAAAATGTGAAACTACAGATTCAGTGCAGACTTATGCAAATGAAACTGAGCAAAAGGAGACGTGATATTTCCACCTGTGGCTATTTGAAGGATGTAAACACATGAGAAAATACTAATTAGGAAGGCTCAAGGGTGTAATTCATGAGACCTGCCATATGACTTAGTAAGGAGAAATTCAGCTGCAGGATTGTAAGCAGAATTACAAGTGTTCAATTACATGGCTGCTACAAGAGGAGGATGTCTGCAGTCTTGCACAACTGATAACATGATTGTCAGTCCACATCTGATACAGACAAGAAAGCAGATGCTGTTTCAATCACAGAAACTGTCGGTTGACATTACATCACTTTCTGAGTCATGCTGTGATCTCTCACAATAGACATTCACTCCCTGTGAAATTACTGCCTATTTCTGGTTTCTACTGCTGTATCTTAACAGCAGTAGATTCATGACATGAAGGAACAGAGCAGTCCAGTCCAAATGTGATCCTACCCTTTATGTGTGACAGCTTGGATCGGGGCCTCCCCAGGTTGTGCCATCCCAAGTCCTTGCTCGCATAGTGACCATTCTTCTTGTTGCGTGGCCCTTCTAGAGCAGGGATGTGAGGAGTAAGGATGCTTTCAGTCACTGGTATGCAAATACCTGCAAGGAAAAGACAGCCACTCAAAGATTTGAATAAGAGGAAAAGCAGCTGAGAGACATGTACCGACCAGGTCAGGATAATGAAAGCACCAGGGTTTGGCCTCAGTGAAGCTCAGCTCTAATCACACGTTCACCTCTGGTTGCTGGCACTTAGCCTTACCACAGCTCTGCTTTGCTCACTGTCAGACAGTCTCTCTGTCACGCTGGCTTTATGGCCTGAGCCCCTGGAGAGCTCCTTACAGACGTCTCTCTCCAGTCTCCATGGAAATGCAAACAGTATGGTTATAACCCTCCCCAGGGAGAGTAGATTCAGGATTCATTAAGTCTCCTTTGCTTCCTTACAATATGACTTCTGTGCAGTCTTCCAGTGAATCAAAGCACACTGAATTTAGAGCTGTGATTTTAGGTAGCATTTTTGTGTTCCTCTACCACAAAATATAAGAAAAGACTGCTAATACCTGAGCCCTAAACATAGAAATACTATTAAAGAAAATTAGGCAGAGTGGATCAAAGTAGACTATTAAGTTATCTTGGCTTAGAAAAAGAAGAGCTACTGCCCAGGAAAAAATACTGTTGCTGGGAGCACTCATAGCAAGAGACGATGTCAAGAAGGTTGATTTTCTGCAGGAAAGCCCAGGGCTGGCAGCCGTACCGTTGTTGCAGCGGTTCCCGGGGCAGCACATCCCGTCCCGGTGGCAGCGCTTCTTCTTCCTGCGGCACACCATGCACGCGGAGGTGGCTTGGTGAGGACTGTGGCAGTACCGCCCCACCTCGCACTCCTTGTCGTTACTGCAGGGATAGGCCTGGAGGGGAACAGAAAGGTCTACAGTGAGGCACGCCTTTGCACAAGGAATGGATGCAGCCTGTTAGAAAAACAAAAAACAAAACAAGCAAACAAACAAAATACAAGAAAACAAACTGCCACTGAAACCTCCAAAATAAAACAGTAGCTGAGGTAACAATTCACAGGGCTAGGAGATGCAACTAGGGGTGCTCCACTGCAGCCACAAAGCAATCTTTAAGCTCACACAACTGCTGGTCATTCCATAAAGAATAAGAGATGCTTGCTCATGGTTTCATCTTCAAACGTATATGGGCACAAGAGAATTCATATTTTTGTGGATTCAGGGATCTGATTCATAGGCAAGAGCTTAAAACTCCACAATGAACAATCAATACAGCCATGAAAGCCAGTAACAATACTGAAACACACCCTCCAAAAGGTAACATTTAATTTTAAACTCTGAGGAGGCATTCTTCCTTTGGCAGTTGTCAAACACACTGGTTTATTACCAATAAGCTCAGTGTTGTCACCATGAGTATCTGCATCACACTCATTGAAATGTCTGTAACTGCAGCACTCATCCCTGGCCCACACCAGTGGGACTCCTTGGAAGTGACCAAACATCACTGGTCAGCATTTCACTTTGATAACCTTTCATTCCCTTCTGGTCTCAGTATACTCCTTATACTTGCCACCTGCTAAACCACACCCTGTGGTATGCAGTATGGAATGTATTACAGAGCACAAAATATCTTGCACGTATAATTCCCTAGAAGTAGATACATGGGTATAAAATTCTTCTCTATTCATCAAAACCAGCATTACCTCACAGGAAAACAGACTTTAAAGAGGAAAAAGCAAAAGCAAAAGCACTGCATTCTCCCATAAAGATAAAGAAAACTTTGTTCCTACAAAAGGAAAAGAGAAGATTCTTGAAAGAGACACAATAATACACACTGCCACATTCCAGGATGCTTTCTGCTGGCTCCCACACAGCTACAACTATGCTATCTGTTTAAATTTAATTTTACTGCCTGTAAAATTAATTATAGATTTTTTTTCCCATTCCTCAAAATTATTCTTGCAGAATTTGTTTAAATAAAAAAAGATGACCATAAATTTTGTGCACTTCCTGGAAAATTATGTTTACATTTCCTCAACTAATTTTCTCCAGTATTTCAAATAAATAAAACTATTGCTTTTCAAAATGATTTTGCAATTAATTGCTCATCCTCCCACAAAAAAGCTCAACTGACTAATTTCCAGTGTAGAAGGATTACTTAACTGTAATAATTTTTGAAAACAAGACATATATTTCTCTCAGGTCTTTAGGAATCCACTTTGAAAGTTGCTTCTTTAGGTGGAGAAACTCTTGTTTATCTATCTTCATGCAATTCTGTTGAGAATCACATAAGAAACAAGAGGTCTTCAAAGAAAACCTAATTTCTCTCATGTCAGTAGAGGGAGGGGAAACTATTCCATTTCTCATGTGACTTCATGAGTTGTTTGTCAAAATTTACTTTAGGGTACCAAAAGTGCTGGCTGGGTATTTCCCAAGTGCTGTTGCCTCATTACTTCTGCCCTCTGAATATGTGCCTTTGAGAATTTTTCCAGGGTGCAGCTGTTCAGAGTAATCTGAACTATGTGGAAGTCTTTTAGCCTTAAGAATGGACATTTCCTCAAGAGGATGAAATCAAAGGCCAGATCTTTTAAGCTAGAAGTACCAATAAGAGATAAATAGAAATACCTTTTTGGTACTCTTAAGGCATAAGCAGATTCTACTTATTCTAGCAAAGTGGAGCTAAAGTGCTCTTTCCTCAATCTCATCACTCCTGTCCCTCATTTTTCCAAAACTAATAAATAAAACTGACTTAAAATTTATTATATAGTTACCATAAAAGTAAGATTTTCCTTATTTAAATTGTACCTTACTAACCTATGGATCTTACAATGCAAAAATAAAGCGATTTTATATAGATTTGTGCATGGTTATACTGAGTTTGGAAAATACTAACTCTGCTAGCTGGAGGAAATGCAAATAAGAAACAGATGGACTGGCTAAAATCTGGAGATGAAGGCATTTTAGACCCCTGTCTGTCATCAAGACCTTCATAACCGCATCTTTTTTCCAATATGGGCATGTGGCATACACCTGCAACTTGTCAGCAAGAAGCATACTTGCAGTTTTATTTTGGTTCCTCAAATAGCTTCCTAAAAAAAAAGAGTTCCCTGATCCTGAATGGTGCTAATGAATGCTCTCACATACCATATCTAGTGATTGTTTTACTTTTGGCTTTTAAGCTGAGTGACATGAAAAAGACATTTTAAGACATCCATCTAATTGTCAGCTCTACGCTCTGTCCTTGAGAATGGTGAAAGTAACAAAAGACAACTTCAAAAATTTCTAGGAAAATCAACAGAACCCAGCCTTTCTTCCCAATCTAGAGCCCATTCCTAAATAAAAATGATACCTCTGAATTACGATAAGCCAAAACTGACCTACCTAAGGCAAATGACTGCAGCACATCAAAAAATAAGACTGTTACATGTAGCTTAGATAATAACTAAAAGGTCCACTCAAACAACCAGCTACCAGCCAGCCATACAAGAAACCCTCTTGCAAATGCCTGCTGCCACCAACTATTTTGATCTGCCAAAGTCACAATCCATTTATAGCCTGGCTATCAATGACAGGACCTTGAAACAAAAATGCCTATATAGCCTTGGGTCTGTTTCCTAGTCACCAGACATTCATTAGAATAGACATAATTCCTGCTCTCAGCAGAGTAATTCCTATTGCTGTGTAGCATTCATTATAGAAACAGAAAAATAAAATAACATATTGTGTACTTAGCCTTGGCTAGCAGGAGGGAAATGCATCCATAATTATTCCTTTATTGTCAGTTGAGTCAATCTAGGTACACTTCTTTAAAATACAGGGTAGAGAAAACATACTTGTAAAAACGTGCATGTTAACTATTATCTATGTATAAGTCAAGGTTTCCAAAATCTCCTGCACCACGGTGCCTGGAACAGAGTCTTTACGTTCAGAGAACTGTAGAGAACATTTCCTATATACAACACAAAGACACAGATCAGTCCCAGATGGAGAGGGAAGAAGCAAGCTGTAAACCAGCTCTACTTCCCCAGCAATGATAACTAATTCTATAAGGCACATCATCCCTTCACATTCTTCAGCTACACGTATCATTTTCTGGTTGTAAATCTCCATCCACTAAACACAGCTTTGATAGCATGGGAAACCAGATGAAACTGAGATAAAATACCCTCTCTGAAGCTGCATTTAAACAATCTTATTTTTTTATCCCGCTTGCAGGCAATCAAGTCACCCGTAGCATGACATGAACTAGATGTGCCTGTGATAATGAGTCACATTTTCAGAATGTGTTTTCTGATTAAGAGCATTGTTTACTGACATGGTTTTTCCTAAGTCATTCCAATTAGTTTTGTATCCTTGTATAAAAGACACTGTTGATTACTTGTCCAAAACTGTACAGCAAAGGCATTTTTGCAATGTTGGGGGATTCAGGCTAGATGTTGAAATGGATGTTGCTTGTGCTGCACCAAAATGTCACCTGCATCAGTCCACCAAGACTAACCCTTACCAGTCAAGTCACAACAATACTGAGATTTTAAACTTTTCTCTTTTCTCTTCTGAATTTATATTCAAAATTTCATGAATGCATGATAGAATACTCAAGGAAAATTATGCAGAGGATAGAGGACAAAATTTGGGGATTTTTATAGTTGAACATGTCGTTCCAAGCACTAAAAGATCTTCCTTTTTATATTAACTTCCCAGGAAGGCTGGGTAAGGAACTGATTGTCTACATTTTGTGGCTAAGTGGGTAATGTCATTCCCATGATTTGAGAACCATGCAGCAGTGAGGTTTATGCTTACCTTTGTCTTTCTCCTTCTGACAGAGGAGCTCTTAGCCCCTTTTCTCAGTGCAATGACACTTTCTTGATATTTTTGCTGGAGTCATTTGCTATCACACATATTTTATAGGTACCACAGAGTTTCACTGCAAGCTGTAGCAATATTAAGTGGTGAGATTGTTGTGCTAAGAAGTCAAACAGTTTGAGTCTCTCTGTCTGGCACTATAAAACGTAATGGAGAAGTACTCCAGGGGGAAGAGTAAGACAGACGCTGTAATGTGCTGAAGGGTGAGAAGACTGATGGCAAACATACTTTATTGAGCTTTGGGAGATAAGGTCTTGAATTTCAACATGGCCTCCAGCAAATATTTGAAGACCATATTCCCAGCCAGTGTCTTAATCATCAGGCTCTCATCTGCTCGTATTAGGATGTTTCATTTGTTTTTATGCGGAAGTATTCCACACCGTATTAGATAATCACGAGTCAGTGAAAGGCAGAAGAGCCACTGGCATTTTTACCTGGACTGTGTCATCACTTATCCAGCACAAGCAGCTGAGACACTGCTGGCTTCAGACCCGCCTTCAACGCTGACAGGAGCCGTGCCCAAATAGGTGTTTTCATGGAAAAGATATCAGTAGTGATTCCCCCAGAAGCAATTAACTTTTCTTAAAAAACACATCATAAAATCCAAGTGCAGAGTCAGTCCTGGCAGAAAATCATGGCTACTACCCCTCCCAGCAGAAGAAACAGCATGGAGGTTGTCCATTAGCCTTTTACTGTGGATACCAAGCAGCACTCAGTGAGACAGATGAATCTCACGTACCACTGAAATGACAGTACCACTGCATGTATTGTTCTGCATACTCTGCCAGATTTGGTCCATGCAATCATTCCCTGATTATAGTGGGGACTGAGTGGAAGAAGAGGAGAAAAGCTACAACCAGTTGTACAGCCAGGAAGTGAGAGCTCTCCAGAGCTCCCAGGTCAGTCCTTCATCATCTTCTCTCACTTGGCAATGAGGCAGTAGCTATATATGTCTCTCAAAGGTGAGACAAGGGACCCAAGGAAATGGACACATATATTAACCCAGGAATTGCTTCCCTGGTACCCATATGTCAGAAAACTAATTTAGGCTTTCACTCAGTTTTGTACATATTATCCCTATTTATTAATATCCTGTGCAAATGCCTGTGCCACTAGGCTGTGCTACCACATACTACAGACATCTTCTGCTGTCAAAATCTCTTCTATATCACATCTACACAATCTTTTATATTTATACAATGTCTGTGAGACTGGTTGCCACAAATGAATTGGTACTGCAACTCAGTTTATTACTCACTTGTTACTTAAGGAAAAAAAAAGTTATTTTCTCCATTTCAATTAATCATGCTTCCATACATTTTAAAATAATGACTGTGAAGGAGATGGAAGCTGAACTCTCTGTAGCCAATATGCTGGCTAGATGATCAAAACTGTCTTGAACTATAGGCAAGAGGACAGAGTTTCCAACCTCCACTTGAGAGATGAACAAAAGAGCTTGTTTGCCTTTAGTCTTGGGCATATTGCTTAATATTCCAAAGCCATCAGGCACAATGAAGCAACCAACTGGCTCAATCATGGTGAGAATCTCTCCTTCCCATCCTGCTTCGGACAGGACAGAACTATCTTTCAGAGAAAGGACTTGATCCCCATGGAGCAAACATATGAAATAGCCACAGGGGTGCCATGTTTTCTTTTTCTTTTCTCTTTCTCTGAAGAATTAGTAATCCAAATTAAAAGCATGCCAATAAATTAGGAAATGCAAACATATGCTTTAACCAAGTAGCCTGCTGTCAAGACTAACTACAAAGAATGCAAGTCATTGTTTGGCTCCCCAGTTGGGCCTGATTCTGAGTTGGGTCTCAAATTTGTTTTGGCTTTTAACAGATCAACATTGGTGGGACAGTTGTATGCAACATGTGGCCTGTAGAGCTAAATGAATACATCACATGTGGGATTCGTCCTACTCGCCTCTTTGGAGACAGAGTGAAGATTCTCTCAGAAGTCTGAGAGAAATCCTAACATGATCTCACAGGATACAATGTGATAAAGCAGAATGGAGGGGCTAAGAGGGTAATTCAAAGCCTTTTAATAACCAACAAACAAAGCAAACTCCCAGCTCTTTATGGGTTGTCTTTTTCCCTGCAAGGCAACTAAACTACTTACTGAGAGCTTCTCAGGTGTATCCAGAAAAATCCACCTTTGACAGACTCCAGCCTAACTTTCTCCTAGCTGCTAAGCAGACATGTAGGTTAAGATGTGGATGAGAAATTACCATTATTTACTATTTTATTATTAATCCCAAACAAGAAAAGCCTTTATCAGCAGCCATCTGGAGTGATGTATTTTTCCCACAGCACTGCTGATGTTGCTTTTTTCTATTCTTAGCTCAGCAGAGGCATAGATGATAGCGAGGGATCTCACTGTGTGCAAGCACAAAGCCATGGTTAATTTATCCCACAGAGGAAATCATGCTGTGCTCTCAGACAGCTCCAGACATGGATCCTGTCTCAGACTGAGAAACCAGAAACTCTCAACTCTCAGTGACTGCTGTGGCACAGATCCTTCCTAAAAGAAAAACTTAACAGTAGTTGCAATGAAACAGTTTTACTTCTTTCAGTTGCCATAGCGAGTTTAATGATTCAATTTTTCTCACCAAACCTTGTTTTTGTTAATATAACTCTGACCCATTTCTCTCTCAGACCTAAAGAGAAAAGTGCCATATTCAGCCTCTAGATTCAGTACAAGCACTTTCTTCTAGAGATAATTTATTTTTAACTCTTCAATTTAACACAACACTGCTGTTACATGAGGTCTGATTCACAGAGTGCTACATCATGGATACATATATTGCAGCTTCCAAAGATCATTCCTTCAAACTGTGTGGATAATGGTCCCAAAAGCCTACATTATTAAACAATAAATATTCATTTTTCAAAGGAATTCTCAATCCACTGCTAGACCACCAGGGAAAGAACATTTCTATGACCTGCAGTAGTCCAGCTCTCATGATTTGCTAGAGCCAAAGAAAACTCAGATCTTAACAACCAGAAAACAAACCTCACTGAGGTCCCTCTGAACCAACTGAGGCAAGACTCACAGGGGTCGTCTCATAAGTTTTCCTTGTCCAAGCAATAATGCCATGGAAAACAACATCCTGTTCTGCAAGCACTAGGCAGTTGTGAAGGGAGCTGTGCTCAGGGGGAGTGTGTAGCTGCATCTGGTGGAAAGAGAGTTCAGACACCTCCAAATAAACAGGGGAGCTGTGCTGCCCTATTTCACACAGCACTGGTCAGTGTTAGCAGTGACTCTCCCAGTGCAGATAGGAAAAGACCTCCAAAGATTTTCCTGAATGATATCTCACTCAATGTGACTCTCAGCCCACATAATGAATTTCAACAAGCATTTTAGGTCTAGACTATCTAGATCACTCCAACCTATTCTACAGCTTATAAATCTACACCTTCTCTTACAGAACTACCTACATTTTGTGTCTGTCATAGTTTGACGCTGGCGCAATGCCAGCGCCTTCATGAAAATACACTCTCTCCGGTTTCTGCTGTGAGATGTGACCAGGAATAAGCAAAGTAGGCCCCCACTTAGAAATAAAGAAAACTTTATTAACTACACTACAACTATATGTAAAAAGGAACACACAGGAAAAATGAAAACCTTACAAATACATTTCCTCTTGTCCCCACTAAATTTCTAATATGTCTATCTCCCAAATTTCAGCTCTTGGTCTAGCACTACTTTTCAGACAATTAATTCTCAGTTCATCAAGAGGCGAGGAGTCTTTCTTGTGCTATAGGCTTCTCCTGGAAACACTGTTGAAACTTCGTGTGTTTTTATGTTACTTGTGGCACCGCTTGGAGAACATCTGCTATCATGACTTCTTTTCATGTCTAGTGCTCTCACCACTGAACATGGACTAGAGCTGCTTCTAGGGTTGTCTTTTAAGGATGCTTTGTCCCGTTCCAAAAAGAGCACAGCCTCACTTTTGGGACACCTGTCCCCCCCAAATTTCACCCCCTGGGGCCGAGGGGTACCACCACTGAACCCTCTTGGCTCTGAGCCATTGCCTCCCCCCAGATGCAGTCTCTGTGTCACAGGAAACATGGTTCTGTCCATGGCTATAACAAGGACAGTCTAGTTAAAACCACTCTATCATCTCTTCTCCCTTAAGATTCTTCTCTCCCAACATCTTTCCCTTGCTCAGACCTTCATCACACTTGCTCATTTCTTTCTTCATCTTCTACTCTATCTCTCTTCTAGGAAAGGTTAATGTTCTGTAAAGTTTTTATTGTCTAAAAAGGGGTTAAAAACTTGGGCTCTGCCCACCCAGGGACTCCCACAAGCAGCCAGACACCTTCTCACTGCCCCCCGCCTTCTCTGCAAGCTGGACTGTGCTGCCAGGACATGATACTGAATTTCAAGGTGGCACAGGCTCTCTCTCTCTCTCCCTCTCTCTCTCTCTCTCTCTGTGTCCTGGGGGGGCTGCTCAATGCCTCCTGGTGCTTCTCTCTCTTCCACCCTTCCACCCTTGGGGTCAGGCCTACCTCTCCCG